GGATATTTAGTCACTGGCCTTAAAGATTTATCGTGACTCTCTAGAGTTACGAGGGTCAAACTGAAAGTTCTTAGAAAATCAAAAACTGATTACATTAGCCAGTTATTAGTTTTATTATATCTTTTCAAAATATTGTCCATTCACGTCAATACACCGCTGCATGCGATGGAACCACTGGGAAAAGCACTTTGCCCACTCGTCCTTAGGGGTCTCTTCAATGGCATCGCGATACGCAGCCACCGCTTCTTCAGCATTCATAAACCGCTTTCCTTTAAGTTTTTCTTTAATTTTTGGAAATAAATAAAAATCACAAGGCGCGAGGTCGGGGCTATACGGCGGGTGACCCAGTAATTCAACGTTTGATGTCGCCAAATAGTCGATCGTTCGCTTGGCGGTGTGCGACGAGGCGTTGTCGTGGTGAAGGAGGATCCTACTGCGAGGTCGTTTCTCTCGAACTTTTTCCAAGACAAGTGGCAAACAATTGGTAGTGTACCATTCTGCAGAAACTATTTTTTGATCCTCTTACACAATTGTTGCAAAATGACCTATCCTTCCAAAGAACGAGGCCACCATTTTTTTTCCCGCACTTCGATCTCTCTTCACTTTAGTTGGCAACTCCTCGAAAGGAAACACCCACTGAGCAGATTGTCTTTTGGTTTTAGGATCATAACAGTAAATCCAGCTTTCGTCACCTGTTAGTATGTCGAACACAGCATTTGAGTCACCTCCGTTAAATCTTTCAATCATTTTACGACACCAATCCACACGATGGAGTTTTTGAGCCTCAGTCAAATTATGAGGTATCCACCGGGCGCAAAGCTTCCTGACCGCTAAATGTTCGTGGAGGATTTTGTGCACTTGACTCATACCGATGCCTAAGCTTGTCCGAATCTGTTGATAGGTCACTCTTTTGTCAGTCTCTATCATACGCCGCACAACACAGATGTTATCTTCAGTCGTCGCCGTAGAAGGCCGTCCCTCACGTAAATCATCAGTGAGATTAGTGCGACCACGTTTAAACTCATTAAACCAGTTGTAAACAGTCGCACGAGATGGGGCTTCATCGTGAAAGGCCAATCGTAGTCTATCATAACTTTCTTGTTGACTTAAATGACATCGAAAGTCATAAAAAATCATTGCACGAAAATTTTCTCGTGTTAAATTCATGATGACGTGACACAGACAATTTTCAATTTGCCGCCAAATCGTAAAACAAATGAATGAAATATATACTCAGTAATATTGGCAAAGAGTTATATTTTCAAATTTTAGAATTATTTTTTTATTATATTGTTTATAAGTGGCCAGTTCTAAGAACTTTCAGTTTGACCCTCGTAGATACGTCACGTATTGTCGAACTTACAACGTTTGAATGTTTGATATGACTTTACACCTTTCACACTACACGTATGATTAGTTTCATACATCTGCGATACGCTTGACATATTTTCAGTCAAATTTACACCGACTATATGGAGAATTGTAGTTTTAAGAAATCAACCTCTGTTTGCGGTTGAATAACCATTAGGAAGACGTGACTGAAAAATTTCTATTACAAAAACTAAGTTCTTATAACGTTATAGAAATACAATTTATCCTTTTGATATTATTAGAAAAGTAGCGCTTATATAGTAAGTCCGTTACAATAGAAATTCTGAGTTCATTATTTATAGTTTGAAAAACAACTTTAATCTTTATACCCGATTTCCTGACAATTGATCTAATTGTTTAGTAATGAGAGTGTAATGGATAATCCTTATTTTATATATTGTAAACTACTCTACCCATTGGCAACCCTAACTGCGACAACGAACGAGCTTAGTGGAATCTTCAACAGAGTTGAAACCTGTCTTATAACTAGAATACTAGTCAGTTACACATGACTTCGTTTAGACTTAGCTTCCTTTCATTTTTAAAACTTCGTTTATCTTATTCAACAGTATTTTGTTCAACTAGTCTTTTTAATTTAAGAGATATTAGGCAATATCGCACATATATTGCTCAGGACCTAAATAGAGTGACTATAGTCTTTGTGCTATGGAAATCTGACAATATAGAAATATCTATTTTCTGTATTAAACTGATTGGAAATTGAACCCAAAGCTTTAGAGATACGACAATTTACCGAGTTCGTCTACAGTGATAAAGTTTATAAATAATTCAAATATATTACAATGGTTAGGCAAAAGAAAAGATGCTCTTTTCCCTTTTTATAAGCTTACTTTTTCCATATAATTTATTCGGTTAATCTTTGTAGAAGAAAAAAAGGCTTGTTATTTGGGAAATATCAGGATTCCCTCAAAAGACAAATTTTTGTGTGACGAATGCGTAGTCATGGATGTTATAATGTATTCAGGATTGAATAATTCTTATTGGATGGTTGTTGAACTCGTTTTTTTTATATGTTGGACAGGAAAAACCATTTTGTTCTTCATAAATATGCGACCACGTTTAAACTCATTAAACCAGTTGTAAACAGTCGCACGAGATGGGGCTTCATCGTGAAAGGCCAATCGTAGTCTATCATAACTTTCTTGTTGACTTAAATGACATCGAAAGTCATAAAAAATCATTGCACGAAAATTTTCTCGTGTTAAATTCATGATGACGTGACACAGACAATTTTCAATTTGCCGCCAAATCGTAAAACAAATGACAAATGAATGAAATATATACTCAGTAATATTGGCAAAGAGTTATATTTTCAAATTTTAGAATTATTTTTTTATTATATTGTTTATAAGTGGCCAGTTCTAAGAACTTTCAGTTTGACCCTCGTATAATATCGTTTATTCTGATGTAGCCTCCAAAAGCATATTCACAGCTTTGAGAGATTTTATCTTTTCTTGACTGAATTTGTGTATCATTTCTGATACCTACTGTTAGAGGAAGTGAAATTCTTGGTCATCAATTCAAAGAGACCAAATGATTAAAATAAAAATAAATAGTAACCTCCTTCGATAATTCTAAATAAAATAAATGTCCACACTTGCTAAGATGAATAAAAGCTGAAAGTCATAAGCTGAATTTGATGTTACAATAATTCATGGTCAGGTGATCGTTTAATGCTAAGCGAATAAGGGAATTAATGAATATTGGTAAGGAAACTATTTTATTTCGTGGAAATGTTTAAGCTCTTTCCGTCATAATTATAAGGATTGTAAGATTGCAGTATTAAGATTAGCTAATTAAACCCTATCATTTGACTCCCAAGATGACGTTATTAAGATTTTCAATCATCCACCGATAACTCAATGATGAAGATGACGTTACAATTAATTAGGATACAAGTAAAATACTAAACGTTTCCATTCTTTTCAACTGTCAAAATGATGTTATAGCATTGTCATGTCAAGTGTAAATGAAGTGATGTACGAGCATATAAATAAAAATAATAGTATACTGTCTCATGCAGTCAGTTCATTTGCGCCACCTGTCGCAAAATGTCAAGGACAGTTACCCGTTCAGACCAAAACAGCTGTTTTTGACTAGTAGCATTGATGATTATTGCTGCACTCCAGTGTTACGATAATAGTAAAATATCGATGGTTATTGATTATTCGATATTTTTCAATTAACAATGCCGTTACTATCGATAAAATTATCCGTCAGTTCATATAAAAGTAAATCACATTTATTTCAATTAAATAGTATTATTGTACCTTCTTAATATGTGTGACATTTAAACGATTTACGTTAATTAATTATTGTACGTAGTTAATTATCACCAGTATTATCATCATTATTGAACGACGGGTATCCTCATTTTATTTGTAATAATTCAGAAATTCGATAGTTCAAATAGTCATATCGATATTGTGACTATTTTCAAGACCAAGTATCGATAATGAAAGTATTGCTATATCAACAACACTACACTTTACATTTATGGAACAAAACTTAAACAACGTGTCTTTAAGGTGGTAATAAAAACAAGTACATTTCGCTCTTCAATTATAATCTTTAAAGTATTATTTATATTTACCGTAGCAGTGTTATTAATTAATAAGGTTTAGCGTCAGAGTAAATTTACATTAAGATTACACTAAGTCAAAATTCATATTATTAAACATAGACCAACCAAAGTTTTAACTTTACGAGGTTTATACGGGATTTACTTCTGGAAGATAGTATGTTTGGTTTGGTATGAATCTTGCCTAATACTAAATGCAAACTAGCGTAAATTTCTTTCGAAGCAAAACCTTGTTTATTAATAATATTGTAAGAGTGTACATGATAGCATTATGACTGAAGAGTTATCAATTTAAAAAAAAACATTGATAACCAATAAAACCTCATAATCATCTGTAATCTGTATATATTAATCCTATTCCTCAAGGGTTTTCTCATTAACACTTAAGCGTGAAGTAGTACATTCTTTTACGCTAAGAATAATGGTAGCTCTGGAGAGATCGGCTTTTAGAAGCAAATTGTCTTCGGTAATAGATAGTCGGACCCTTGTCAGCCATTCCATTTTATTTCACTATATATCAGAAGTATACCTAATTTCTGATGCTGTAATCGAAAACTTGGGCTAGCAGAATCTCAAAATATCTAGGTAATTATTTAGACAGAGTTAGTATCTATATTCTTGGCACTTATTTCGTGATTTAGTTTTGTCATTTACAGTGCTAGTTTTATATTTTTGCACTTCATATACTTGCAAATAAAAAAGCTGTCCAAACGAAATTACGTATGCATCAACATACTATGAATAGGTAAATCGCATCACATATTAAAGGATTGTCCCAACGACGAGTCAATCAATCACTTGTCTCAATTTAACTGAAATTTACTCAAATAATATTCGAAAATTAAGGCAATTTAATTAAAAATATGGTTATGTGTTCTTTGTCTATTATCATTTTGATATTCTGTATAAAGAAGAGTACCAGATTAAATTACATCTTATTTTATCGGATAGGGTCACGGATATTGTAATTAAAAAGGTATAATGTTGCTTTATATTTTTTCTATATTTTCAGGGAATGCCGACATACCTTACGTCCCGGTTGCGCCTGATGGGGCAGCGGCGGAGGGGCGATGAGCCTAAGCGGCGGCGGCGCCGGCGGCAGTGCCGCTAACAGCGGCGGTACCAACGGTACCACTCCACCCATCGGCAGTGCCACGGCGAATTTTTGCACGCCCATCGTCCATGGCACAAACCAGCCACCTCCTGCCTGCATCGCACCCCCACCCGCCCCGTACCACGCCAGCGCGATCAACTAGAGTTCCACATCCACACAACCCACACTGGCACTTTTATCGCCGCGAACGTGAACCGAACATCGGTACAAATTAGCACACTTCACAAACCTGCGGACAAAGAAAAACTAGTCAGTATACCTTGCGAAGACCAAGGACTAAAGTTACATAAAAACAATGTAGTGTATAATATTAATAGTGGAAAAAATATAAATGAAGACATTTACGCAAATATGACATATACGTAATACTGTGAATACCAATTAAACAAATATTACAGATAAATATACTATGCTTCCAATTTTGTCGTGATGAAAAGAATAATATATAAACCTTGGAACACGAATCAGTTAATTAGTATGCAATCAAAGTATGTCTTATGCTATTAAACATCGCAAAATTCAGCAGCTGCTATGAGATGAATTTAAATTCTTCGAATTACAGTAATTGGTGTTACAAAATATTGTTTTATGTCAAATTTGGTAGCGAAGGTTATTTTTGACGTTAAGTCATTATTCAAATCCGTGTATCGATCGAGTTTGGTTTCGTCCTCATCACGATTCGTTACATTGTCACGTTGAAGAGCTATTTATACTGTATCATCTTCCCACACAAAGTCATTGTGTCCCCCGGCCACAATTATTTATTCCGGTTCGTCAATTTCAGTGGAAAAACGACCCAAGTGAGTCTCACACACGTCACGCCGATACATGCAAGGCTTCATTTGTTATAGGCCGTGCCGAAGACACTCGCATAGATCAAAGTGAAGTCGCGCTCACTAGAGCGAGAAACGAAAGAAAACCCCGAAGGAAGGCCGTGAAATTAAACGTGGTTTCAACGCTTCTAATTAGACACATTCTATCCAATGACAATCCGACACGCGTCAGATTTTGGACCATTCTATTCGTGGAGATTGACATCTTGGACCGTAGTGCCGCAACGTTATGACAACTTTGAAGACTCCATTATTAGCTTTTTAAATTAATTGCTAATTTAATTGGAAAATATTGGCTTGCAACACCGTTGGCAGTTCCTTTTATGATTAAATAATATATGTATTTTCTGTTGACATTTTTATTTATTTTCTTCTTAATCTAATTTTCTTAAAGGTTAAAAAAATGTCTTAAATATAATTCCAATATCATGGTTAAAAGAAAACAAAACGAAGTTAACAATATGCCTATCACCCTTATCACCTAATAGACATGGTTTTGAGTGACAAATGAAGACCCAAAATTTGATTTCATGTATGAAAAAAGATATGCCCATGCCCAGTAACATAAACATAATTCTGAAAAATGATATCAAATTTCTGTAATATTATATCATGTCTGGTAGATGAAAAGAAAAAAATTAAGTTGCTTACTTATCGAGCTTCGCTCTTTTCGTCTTATTCTAGAATTGGCAAATTGGTACTACTACTAAGAAATTCGAAACTTCTGTGTTACTCGGTTTTTTCTGACCTATTGAATTAAGCTGACACATTCTAGATAGCAGTGAGTTATTCACTTTATTCATATATATTCGAAATACTACTAAAATCACCATGTAAACGGACAATTTTATAGTAAAGTAATATTACAATAAACGTATTTTATTTATATGTATATTCGAGTCCGCTGGTGGTCCACATGTTAAGCAAATGTCAAAGTCTAGAATTATTAATGAAACTGTTGAGAAAACTTTGAGTAAAAAAATATTGACGCAATAGATGCTATAACAGAGGAAGTTTGTAATTTTTGTATCAAGCATAGAATTCGTGTAGAACTATCGAATACAAACTTTAATACACTAATGATAAGAATTGAAATCGAAGAAGATATAATTTTGAATAGAATTTAAATTTACCAGTAATAGTCTGTTTGGTGATCTTGGATGGCTTATTCATTGTGTAAAATACAGATAAAATTTTTATTGGTTGTGAGTTCGGATAATAATATGAGGATATTATATTTTTAACCTATATAACTGGTTTCTATCTACGACTTTTAGAATCAATAAGGGTACTTAGTTTACATATCGGTTTTGAAGTTAAATAATAAATTATGCAAGTAATATGAGACTAATGACATTTTTATTTTTTATAATGTTCCACCCGGCTCCTAAAATAGCAGCCTGCTATAAATAGCCTACTAAGAAGCACCATCGATTAGAAAGGGACAACAAGGATAACACGACAAAAAAACAGAGACTATATGTAAGTTGGAAAGCACCCATATCGGTGATTCTAATACATCTAGCACACCTTCACGATAGCGAATCGAAACCAAAATGAAACACTAAAAAACGGAGAATAGCTGTCAAGTACGAATTTCCATGTGACATAGCAACAGAAACAAAGGCGAAACGAAATCAGGTCGTCTGATTTCGTTGCTGCCCGTTCGTGACAGTCTCTGCTTGAAAGAAGAACAGAAAATCACTGTTCCTTAAACAGTAGATTCAAACCAGATAGTTCAGTTATATTTGTATGAAATCAATTAAACTTGCACACAGATTTACTATATAAGACGTAAAAGTAGCTTTGTAATCGTGTTTCAGTGTGCTACGGTCGTAACTAGCAGTTATAAATTATAACTATCCATCTAGCATATACGGCTTAAAAAAAATCGATATTAGAAATTTAGTACCAAAAAATAGTGTTGGGACATTAACAGTATCACCAGGCACTTCTGATAAAACATAATTTAACAATTATATTTATACTCGTACAATACAATATAAATTGTTAAGTCAGTAAAATCTGTATAACCTACACTAATATTATAAGGAGTAAGATTTAGGTTTTTGTTATCTCTCTTTTTGTTTCGGGTACATAAAATTCATCATCATCATCAGCGTATTAATGTCCCCCCCCCACTGCTGGAGCATAGGCCTTCCCTATGAATGGAATTGAATTGAATAGGTAACATTAAAATTATTATAGCGATTTATCAATTACTTCCAAATAATTTATGATAATTTCAAATAATTCAAACGTATTTCCCATCAAAATATGATCCTATAAAAATTTGTAGATAAACATATAGTCGTGAAATTACAAAGGTACTACAATCACTTTTTATATTGAACCGACCGTATTTAATTCAAAAATTTAAAGTTGATTCAAACCAAGGGATAAACTTAATGTTATAAAAAATATCACTCCTAATGTTTTTATTTATGTTAAGAATCTTGGGTTTATGGAAAGTTAAATATAATATTAATTATAAAATATGCACCCTAATATATTAAGTTAAAATATTATGAAATGTAATCGACTTTCTATTTCCCAAACCCTCGTCGAGATTCTAATCATCCTCGTCGTTAAAATCCATACCGTATATTTTTTTCCAATGAAATCGATTCGTTTCGGACATTCGTGTAAGTGACGTCTCATCACTAGTGACACGGCCCGTGCCCAATGACCGGACAAATCCCTATTGTCGTGTTAATTGTCGATCGATTTGATCGATTTATGTGGTGAACTATGACCGATGTTTTGGGATAGGTTGTTTTTGTATAGAATAATTTATAGGTCTGGTTCATTATTTCATTGTGTTCTTAACAAAAAGTTGAGAGCTATACGCTTTGTGGTTCACGCATTATGACGCGTGTGCAAGGTGTGTTGTGTCGGATAAAAGAAAGTTATGTAACTAGCACGTTTGTGTGTTGTTTTTTGTTCGTCGGTCACGAGGATATGAATTGTGGTATGGGAATAGAGTCTAATAACCGAAACCCAAAAAAAAAAGACAATTTTCTCCTCCCGAATCGAAAATGAAAAGTATTCTATATGTCATCATCGTCAGCCCTTTTACGTCCTCATTGCCTGCAGCGGCGCAGCTCCTGGGCTCAGAATGGTAAAGGAGGATGGGCCATGTCCCAATGCAAATATTAATGACTTATTGATGTAATAATGACTGACGATAATGACTGATGATGTAATAATGAATGACTGACTAATGACGTATTAATGACTGGAAACTGCAGCTGGGACCAACAGCTTAACGTACCTTCTGAAGCACGGAGTAGCTCAACATAATGTTTTTATCACCCATCCCGTAACTGACCTTGGCGAAAATTGCTTAACAAACAAAGATCGCGGGTCGCGGGGCTTATACACTACGTCAACGAGCTACTCTATATGTATCCGATCCATAATCAAAGATGAAGCCAAGTTTGCATTTACAATGCTATATTGCTATTTTAACTTATCTTGTATTACAAAGAAGTTTGAATTTCAAACAGTGAATAAAAAATGTAGAAAACTATTATCATTATATTCGGATAACCCGACAATAAAACTCTTTTGGATTCCTTTGAGCCAGCGACCGTTTTATTCAAATAACCACATAATCTAATTTGGGACAACGTTCCGATCATACTCCGATAAAAGTTCCCTTCAATATGGTTAAAGTATTTTTAGTAATTTTGCGTTGTTCTTTTTATGACGAAAACGTGATAAAGAGTGTAATATAAGTAAAGGCATCTAAGGCACCAATATAAAATAAATGAAACACCATAATTACGTTTATAATGTAACATATCAAATACATGAACATAATATAATTAATGTTGTACCTATTATCCCTAATAAATTAATATGACATTATAAATGCCAATTAATTCTATATATGAAAACGATTTATAGCTCACTGATAGTTCACGCTTCATAGGATTATACTGCTCCTCCATCCGGTTCAATCAAATCAGAATTAAAAGATGGCAATGTAAAATTAATAATAAAATTTTACACAAGTGCCACAATAGAGGGGTAAATAAGAATAAAAATGCAAACTGTATGTATATGATTTTATGGCCTTTCATTACACCATAGAGTTTGCAAACTTGTTGTAAGAATCTCAAATGACATATATTTTAATAAATATTATATATTTGTCGACCTCCGTTGCCGAGTGGTTCGCACGCCGGTTTCAAAGTGTCGCCATCTCTGAGGTCCCGGGTTCGATTATCTATTGTCTCTGGTCAGGGTGTTATGGTACCTTCGTTGTCTCAGATACTCCATAGTACGGGGGCTTTAGCTACTCACCTTGAAATCTGAGCAAAATATGTGATGTTGTTTAATATTTATTTATTTATATACTAACTCGCCACTCGGAAACGTTTGAAATATA